GGGTAGCATTGACCCGATCTATTTAATTTAATTCCTCTGTTTTTAGTTTTTGATTTATCGCACTTTTAGTAGTTTTTAACAAAGCCGTTGTATAGATAGTGGGTCACACAGTAAAAAATATTTATCCTGTGCAAATTTGAGTTATATAGCTTGAAAGGTTTAGAAGAAATGTACATTTAACTTATTAGAAGGAGGGCTACGACCAATTTTGAAAAATCAACCATAGATGGCCCTCCCCAATAGAATCTTCTGTACCAAACTACAGATATATGTTATATCTTAATTTATTGCTTAGTTATGGCGTGTGATAAGTATTTGATTAATGACGTTTTGTGGATGTGGCAGTGGTCCGATTACGTTCATCTACAATAACAAACTTCTTATGGTGCCAAGGAACATGTGTACCAAGTTGAATATTTTATTTTTTACTCAAGCTACAACTTTCACGGAAGAACAGAAGGACAGACAGACAGACATCGGGATTTCTACTCGTCTTGTCATCGTGATTATATATATATATACATATATAACCCTATACAGGTTGGTTGAAAAGTTTCTGCGCTCGAAATGAAAAAATACTGTTTTTGGTACGAAATCTGACACAAGAAATCGGTTTTATTCTGCTTAAAACGCTCTAAATTATGCTGAGAAATTTATTTTCGATCCAGTTTTTGTTGAATCACGCTTATTCAAACTTGGATCTTCACTCACAATAACTTGCTCATTGATTTCTTGTGTGGTTGCGGCTTGCGGATGTCCTTCCCGTGGATTGTATTCAAGCCTAGTACGACCACGTCTAAATTCACCAGCCCAAAGTTCAACGTTGTGTTTTGAAGGTGAAGACTCCTTATACACTTCTGATAATCGTTCATAAATTTCCTTTGTTTTTGAACCTTTCAAAACAAATAATCTAATCGTTGCACGATATTAAACTTATCCTAATTAAAAAAAATCTGGCACGTCAATTTCAAATGAATTGATTGACAGAATGACTTGTAACTTTGCATGTATACGCACGACAATTGTACCAACTTGAGGAAAACAAATTTGGAACTAGTAGTGCTATTTATTGGTGAGCACTACTCACTTTTCAACCAATCTGTATTTATCTCGAATAGTTTTAGATGATATGCACAACCGTTAGGTGAACAAAATTGTGATACGAGGTGTCTTCAAATGAAAAGGCGAATATATCTATTTTGTCTCCCCCCGGCTATAATACAATTGTGCCAACACTTTTTCCAATCCCCGAAGCAATTCCGAAATGCGCTTTTCGGTATGGCCATCAGCTCTTTCCTCGATTCTGACTTGATCTCATCAATTGTGGCAAAACGCTTTCCTTTCATTGGTTTCTTCAGTATTGGAAATAGGAAAAAGTCGCAGAGTGCCAAACCTTGTGAATACGGTGGATGAGGTATGATTACGATTTTGTTTAGGCCAAAAATCAGGAAAATCATTGATATGTGAGCTGGTGCATTATCGTGATGCAGAATTCACGATTTTTTTTTCCACAATTCCGATCGTTTGAGCCGCATTGCTTTACGCAAACGTTGCATAACTTCCTTCAAGTACACCTTATTAATTGTACGAATCAAATAAAAGAATGAGCAAAACCTTCACTTTTGATCGAACTTACATGCCTTGTTCGGTCTTGGCTCATCTGGCAACTTCCCTTGAGATGATTGGGCCATGGTTTCGGCGTCATAACCATTTACCCACGTTACGTCACTAGTTATGAGCCGTTTGAGCAAACCCGTATCGTTGTAGACATCATTCAACAACTCCTGAGCGATACTAATGCGACATTACTTTTTCTCAAAATTTAACAATTTCGGAACAAACTTCGCTGCGAAGCGTTTTATGCCCAAAACATTCGACAAAATTGAATGGCAAGAGCAGGTTGATATGCCAACATCCTGTGCAACTTCCTTAATAGTGATTCGACGATTTTTAAGAACAATTTTTTTTTACTGTTTCGATGTTTTCTTTGCTTGTTGACGTGGTCGCACCTCCAGGATGCTCATCGTCATCAAGATCTACCCGGCGTTTTGTTAGGCGCATGTTCCACTTATAAACACTTTTTGAGACAAAATGGACGCGCATGATGCCACAGTCCACATTTCAAGTGCCTTGGAGCACTTTATTCCATTTTTAACAGAAAATTTTATACATATTCTTTGATCGATTTCCTTCAAAAGTCAAAAATCGAAGATCACACAAAAACGTAACTAGCCTCTTCTGTTGTTAAAATCAAACTACTAATCGAAATTGGCTCCTAATGTCAGCACATGATAATTATGTGTGTCCGATTATAACAAAAACAGAATATCGATAATCAAATGTACACCGCCCGCTAAAAATCAAAATTCACCTTTTCCTTTGAATACACCTTGTACTCTGAAGCAACATATTGCATGAGTATAAAAATGCAAATATTTAGAATAATCAATTAAAATATATTTTTTTTTAATATCTTTCGAAAAACTCAATTACATACATATGTATATATGCATGCAGGTTAAAAATACTTTACAAGAAACTGCTGATGGGTTCACCAATTCACTCACATTTATTATGTCAGTACTGACGGTCATATGAACAGTAAAATGACTGTCAATGTTGTCGAAATGTCTCCTTTCGACGTATACAGAATTTGCTTTTTGCATACATTTCTATAGAAGTTTCGAGAAGTTGTGAAATACTTATGTAGCTGTTATTTCATTAGATAAACCAAAAGGGTTGCGTACCTCTGTACAATAATAATTTTTGTTTTATTAAAAATAAATGAATAACGAAGGAGTTTTCGAATATAATATACGCAATTATTAAGTTTAAAATAAAATTTATTTTTTTAGTTAATTTTTATTTTTATTTTATTTTTAAATTTTGAAATATTCATAAATTGGAGATATAGGTACAGCAGAGCTTTTGAGAGGAGCAAGCATGGAATTAAGTGAAAGTTTTTTTTTCATAATTCATTAGTAATTTATTTATTTGTTAACTCTTTTTTATATTTATGTTTATTATTATTACTAATTTTAATTCATAGTTTTGAAATCATTAAAGAAATAAAAATTATAATATCTATTGCGCAAAAGAATTTTTCACTTGTGGTAGATTTACAGTCATAACTGACAAATTGCAGCTATGATGGATTTATAGTCAGCAATGACTCAGAAAAAGACATGAGAGTGAGCAGTATAGATATATATGAATCAATTCCCAATACCCATACGTTAAAGAGAGATGCAAACTCACTCACATACGTTTGTTTACAATACATCAGTTTTTGCACAAGGCTCTTAAGAAAATGATAGAAACTTTGTTCTGCGCGCTGACAAAATCAGCTGTGACTGTCATATGACCAGTCAGATGTCTGTCACTGTTCTTGTAGGGTAATCAACACTACATACGACTTTTGCTGAATTAGGTCCTCATCTGTGTGTCTGTGTGTATGTACACACACTATACTAAGTTATATACAAGTTAACGGCAGCCTCCACACAGTAGCTTTACGCTAATTATAAACAAAACTGTATCTTTGCACTTAGCAATAATACATAATTCATACATAATAATTCTTAATAAGCATCTTTGCTTATTTAAGTAACCAATATTATTTTTCATTCAGCTAAGACCACCCACAAAATGTAAACAATAAAACCAATTAATGAATAAGAGAATATTGTAGCTGACACTTATTGTAAGAATTAAGCAAATAAGAAAATTGTATAAATAAGAGTAAATTGAAATAAAGAGATCAGTTATCCATCAGGATGACTCAAACCATCATATTTGATTTCTTCCGCGCGTTTGCGGAAAACTATATTTTTTAACACTTCCTAAACGAAGGAAGTTAATTTGCGTGTAGATGCGTAAGTAATGTGTCTAATTTTTATTACTCCAGCATAACCAGCCAAAATAATGCAATACTTGTAAGTGGATATTTCAGCAAACACACTCACACAATACATTATAAACAATGGAGATACTATATTATACATGAGGAAATTACATAAAAACACCTGTTGCAGAATTTTTGTTTACGAAAGTACGAACACAACAAAGCCAAATATTATAGCTTTCAAATTGTTTTGGACAAAGAGAGAAAGAGTTTCCTGTTTTAAGAGAACTCCTAAAACTGAGTTGAGCGAATGAGATGAAATTGAGTTTTTTATTCTGAGTTACAACAGTGAGTGAGTGGATTTGCAACCCGCAGTTGCTCGCAACTGAAAATTGGTTTGGCTCCGAATAAAAAATTAGTATACCATATTTTATTATAGTGTTAGCCACAAGAGAATGTGGATGGAAAGCATTTCGTATGATACTATGGTACTTACATATTATATTATATAATTAATTTCAGATTTTCTATTACTCGTATCATTATTTGCTTTCTTAGGTTTTCTAACACTTTGTTCTTATAAGGTTAAAATTTATAATTATATTTATAATAATTGTTAGTGGCAAGTGTCTATAGATCTTGTCGAGCATTGTTTTCTTAGTATTTAGCCAAAATTAACACTTCCTATGTAGATAAGCAGTAATTGGGGTAAAATTATGACAAAATTATTTTAATAAAAATTATTCGGAGATTTCGCACAAAAGAATAAATATTTCAAGAGGATTTTGAAATTATTATGATTTTTTATGTTTATTTTAGAAGAGAGATAATTATGTAAGACACAGAAATGTTTAGAAAACCATGTGAAGAAAATAAAATAAAAATACGACATAGGGTTATTTACCTAAAAGAATTTTGACGCAAATATTTGTACGTATTTAATTTATATTTAATTATAGAGATTTTCTTAAAATTTATCTGATTTCACTTCTGACCCTTTAATTTGATGATTTTTAAAATCACTAAAATAAACTCAACCAATATTAAATATTTAATTTAAGAAGACTCAATTTGTATTCAACTGTGCGCACTGCGAGAATGCTCAAAAGGATATAAATACATGAATGTTTATAGATTTAGTATGTTGACTCCAATGCCGGCCATCGTCAATGGCGACGTTTCAGTACGTCGAGATACATTTAGTACTGCGATTGTAAAGAACGTGGTCGGTGGAAACGCAATCCGTTAGTAAAAAACATTCTGAAATGCGGTAGACGAAAGTATTATATTTAGCCAAGGTAAGACTTTTTGTTTCTGCCAATAAACATGAATAACTATTTAAGGCATGTTTTGGAAATGAAAAAGAATATATTTTCCACACCATGATAAACATTCAAAGAGTAATAAAAATCATCATTAAACAACAATTATGTTAATAAAAAGCGAAAAGAAATACTTCTTAAATTTAAACAACGAATTATTTGTGAAAAGTAAGTTTGTATATTTTTTGTGGCATATACGTTTGTTTATCGACGCTAAAAAACGAAATTACTAATGTTGAAGAAATAAATTGTGGTTTGTAAGCTTTTAGAACAGAAGTGCTTATATTTTAGCGAAAAAAAAGATTGAAATAAATAATTTAAAACAATAAAACAAAAAACAAAATAAATAAAAATTAAGTATTTTTGGTGCACATAAAAAGAATACTAAACACTTGTATGGAAAAATAAAAAAAAATTGCTACCAACTGACCCAGCAGTTCACCAGTAACTAAATGATGAATTCTAATCTTAACTTCTGAAAAGCTTAAAATCAGCATTTAAATTGAGTATAAAATTGTTTTTCAGTTATTAAAATGAGAAGAGAAAAGTCTACGAATTAAATATTATAGAGTGTTGTTGTATTAATGTTGTAAAAAAGTTTTTGGATTTAAAAATAAGAAAAAACTTCGAGGTGTTAATAAGCTTGCATGTGAAAGCTTTTAGTTACAGTTACTGAAACATAATTTATGCACAACAACAAGGAGTGAGAAAATTCAACTTGTTTTGTTTTGTTTTTGATTGTCAAGTAACAATCTGCAACCCCCAGTGATATAAAACGGCCAAATCTCATTCTTAACCCCTTTCATACGAAATTTGCATAATGTGTGAATAATGCTTTTTATATTACCATTTGATGTGTTTACTGTTTTTCGCACATGTCGCATTAAAAAGTGAGTGAGTTAAAAATTAAAAATATATTAATATACAAATAAAATGCTGAAAAGTTCTGGAAACTAAATTTTGAAAAAATTACTTGATTAAAGTTGCAAAAAAGAAATAATTATTTTAAAACACATATCTTACAACAGAATTGTATATGCAAAGTACCCGAATTAATAAGTATTAATCTTTGGTTAAAAGTGACTATAAAAGTTCACTCCGAACTAGGAATAATTAAATGTTTTGAGGGCTCTATTTAGTAATCTGAATACTATATAAAAAATCAAAACTTATGAAAAAGCAACATTTTTTCAAAATTGTGATAGCAAAAATTAAAATTAGTTACTCCTTAATATTTCTAGGAATATCAATTAAGTATGCTAAGATTTTCGAATATAAGTATGATATATAATAGATATGGCTTTAAGTACGAGTCTACAAAAGTTCATAACATAACTGGCATTTTGTGCCACAAAACGAAATGAGTGGAACAAAATGGAGCAATCAGATAAACAACAATGGAAAAAAAATCGAAATTTTCACTTTCACAAATGCTCCAAAAATTTAATTTTTTCAAATGTTTAAAAATTTAGTATCGGAGAAATGTATTTAGAGAGTTTATCTGTATATTGCAAAACGGTTGATCTAACTGTTTCGACCTTTCGAGCAAAACACACGTCATTCAATTTTGCATGCAAGTGAAAAACCTTTGATAGTGCTCGGTTTTGAAAAAAACTCGTCTAAAGGTAAACCAAAAGTGTTGGTTTAACTGATTTGTTACATTTTAAAGGACTGTAACTCAAAAAATATTATTAAATATATATACAAGTATTAATTTAAATTTGTAGTATGTTATTTTGAAGGTATAACCTATCGTAAAAAAATTTTCGATTTTTTTTCATACTGTTTGTTACACTTAAAGTTTAAAGATAAATTTAGTTGGCTTGGTGACGCATTAATAAAGGCGTTCATGTTTCCGAAAATATTACCAAATCAACTTCAAAATTTCAGAGAAACATTTGAATATGCATATGTATACTTGTAAGTAAAGAAGAAGTGGATGTCTTGATAATTCTAAATAGGTCCTTTAGAAAATTGTCTTCCGGCAGTTTACACAAATAAATAATGAAAGATTTATGAGAAAAGAAGTGTTTATTTGCTGTAATAAAAACATTTTATTGCAATTAAATTTCAAAAGTATTCTTCGTAATTACTTAAAATTTTTATTTACTTATATTTCAAGATTAATTTACCTTCCAAAAGAAAATTACTTAGTCATAATTCTACCATATCTGAGGGCTTGTGTGAGATGATACAATACTTCTACTCCAGTGCTAGGTGGATCTATTTGATAAGTCTTCGATTCAAAAGCCTTAGTACATTGAATTTTGCTTACAACTATTTCTGAACATTTTTAAGTTCTTTATTTTTCTATATATTTCTTAAAAACAACTTATATAGTAACTCGGTGTATGGTAGTGTACTAAGTCATTAAGCTCTGCAGGGGTTTTCTGTTGACCGTATGCCAACAATTCAAGTACTCTACCTCTGTTTATTTCTGTACTGCGCTTTTATTCCAATAGGGAAATTCATAAATCACCTTCATATAATATCATTTACGTAACTCAAATAAAAGCCATCTTGATGATTCCCCGATTAGTCGAAAAGAAAATTGTTATTAATGACACTTTTGGTATTTTGAAGAAATTGTACCCGAAAGTGCATAATGAGAATCTGCTTTTAAACAAAAAAACAAGAAAATTTGTACACGCTAGCATTGTAGCGAAATGTAAACAAAATTTTAACTAATCTATCTCCAACTATACCCGAAAGATATTAGTTTGAAACTGATTAATACCTAGTTGAGTTCTAAAGATATGAGATAAAGAGCCATTGCCAATTTTACCTTATAGAGATTAATCCGAATGTTCTCTCTTTAAAAATTGCTGGCAGGAGTACAACGAAATTAAAAAACTGTAAAGTGCTTTACGTGTTGCAAATTTAGTCTATTGCAAAGGCTCACAGTACTCTGTACTATTTTTAAAATGAAATGTTCTCTCTGCTTATGCCTAGGTCATTATATTATATTATATTCCCATACGAATTTTTACAATTTTTACATAGCTCTGTAGAAAATAATAAATCATAATAATTAATTTAATTTTGTGACTCATAAATGAAATTCTCTTCTTCGTTGACCTGTCAAATGTACCGTACATAGGATTTACTCTCAGTATACTCCGTGATTAATGTCACTTTAAAACTGATTAGTTTGATTGATGTTACTTATGTATAATATCTTTTGTTTATTTTTTGATACTTCAGTTTTCTTAGTACACTGTGATTTATTCATTAGTCTTCAAATTTGAAAAACAGACGTTCAGATAAGATACATATGTCTGTAGTGGCTTATCAATAAAAATATGTTTCTTATTTGGACAGACAATTTTGGTCTGAAAATATTTAATTAAGTACAAAATGTCACATCCGATATTAAATATCCTTAACGAGTTAGTTTATTGTTTTTCGATATATACAATATATTTTTACCAATTTTTCCTGAAGGAATTTAGTACAAGTAAGAATGAAATTTTATTAAATCACCAGCTTCAAGTTTTTTCATGATATTCAGTGAAAAATTATTTTCTAACATTTCTAATCTGGAAACCTCTCTATATATAGGGTGATCCATTCCGAGGTTCTCTACTTTTTTAAAGAAAAAAACAATAAAAATCAAATCTAATGGAAAATGTTTCTTATCATTATAAAGAACATTATTTGGCATTTATTTTTTGAAGATTATATCCTTCAAATCTTGGGCGCGGCTACGTCTTAGATGGTCCACCCGTTGAGTTCAATTTTCGATGGCTCGTCCAAGCCCTATATTGAGGCGGAATTGTCCGCATAGACTTTAGATATCACACGATCTTGGTGGCCAATCGACCGGCCTAAAATGTAAAATTATCTGCTCACCGAAGTATTTTCTCAATAAATCCATTGATTGATGCGATGTGTGGGAAGTGACACGTCTTGTCGAAGCCAAATGTCGCCGAGATCACGAGCTTCAATTTCAGACATCAAATAGTAGGTTATCATCTCGCAATAACGGTCTCCATTGACGGTAACGTTCTCACAGGTATCATTTTTGAAGAAATATGCACCGATGATTCCACCGGCCCACAAACCACATTCAACCGTTGGTCTATTCGGTCAAATATTATCCAATATGAATGCTGGGCGAGTAGTACGCTCAGTAAGTCGATTATGTTGACCATAAGTTGAGCGAAGCGCGCGACACATTAACGTGAATTTTCGTAATAAAGATGAACAATTTTTAAACGATTTTTAGGCGTAAGTCTTTCCATGATGAAATGCCAAACAGTACTGAACAAAAATAATATGACAGCTTGACACGACTCACGCATGATCTGTCAAAAAAAGGCTATTGAAAAAATTACCTTCATTTCGATCACCCTTTAGTAGTGTATAAAACGTATCATTTGTATATACTCATGCATTTTGCAAAATCAAGAGAAGAAGTATAGTGAATTACATATAATATATGTGGGTTCCTTTATAACTATTTTATTGTTCTTTATACATATATTCTTCAGAAACGAGATCCTGGCTCGACTCGCTGACGACTTGATGTGCAATGTCCATAGTTCGGTAAGTTTTTATGAATCTTAGGCAATTCGGTCCAACCTAACGATCGTTCGTTATGATGGTCGGGAATGCCGTTAATTAATTGAGGGATTTCAGCAAATGTCCAATGTGTATAGGGACTTGTGGTGTCAATACGCTAATGGATTTCGGTATCAGTGCTGCCGCTATAGCCCGATCCCACATGTATATATCTACATTTTCATAAATTAAAATGAAATGAACACGATAGTTTGGCCGTATGTATGTACTAAATGTATAATTTTATGCAATTTTGAAAATATTTGAAATCACAATTGTCAATTGAATACTAGCTGCTCTTGACACACCGAGCAAAATTATATGGTTTCTCAGTGTGTTGTGAAGAAGCGTAATCACGGATATGATTCAGACTCTATTATCTCTGAATAATGTCCTAGTGTGCTTGAAAATTGTGGATTCATACAATCTAAGTGAGAAAATTAGCTAGAAATAAAATAGAAGCATACTTGTTACAGAAGAGCTAGAATTAGCCTTTTTCAACACCAAAAGCTTTGAATACTTTTTGATAGTTTTTTTTTTAAAGTAAAATGCTATTATCATTTAGGAAATAGCAAATAAATTAAAGTCATTAGTTACATAGGTTTATTTTAAAGAATAATTTTTGATTTATGAATAGTCACACCGAAATCTTCGTGTTCGTTCATTCCCCATTTTTTAATAATACTCAATTTACATATAGTTCTACTTATCAAAAAGTTTCATTATAATGAAGATACAGAAATTACGCAATACGTTTAATCTGGCTTAAAATAAAGTTTATAAATTTATTGCTTTAATATTTAGTTTTATATTGGTATTTTAATTTGCGATGTTTGACTTTCCTAATAGTAAACTTAGTTTCTTTCGCTTCGTACGTAATATTAACATAGTGAGGAATTTAGCTGTTCGCTTATACTTGCATAAAATATCGTGTATAATTAAATTAAGTGCTCTGAGTGACTTTTCGATCTAAAATATCTTAAATAATTTTCCCAATTTAGCCATAAAACTAGCTGTTACCTTAATGAGGCTATTATTATTTTAATTCTAATGCAAATAGTATAAATTAAAATTAACCTTATATATCAATATTTTCCAAAGCAAAGTGATATTAGTTGAATTGGGTAATCGTTTTTTTGTAAAACTAGCCATCTGTGTATTATTTTCCTTTAATTTCTAATTTCAGTTCTGTTAAATCAGCTGATCAAAGTGCTTGCTTATTAAACCTAATACAATTGTCCATGAGAAAACAAATATTATTCCACAGATATACATATGTACATGTTTACGCTCTTGAGCTCGCGAACCACATATTTCCGGTGAAATTGTACCAACTGCCAATACAAAGTACATTGCATAAACAATGCAATCGAATTAGACTTTCAAATGCAATCAGATTGTATTGAGCGAAACAAGTGCTTGCCACTATCAATCGGTGAAAGAATTTACAAAAGTTGGGGAGTGTGAATTAACATAGGTTCGATGTGGTCGCAATAATGTAGGGAGAAATTAAGTTAATTAACCCTAACTTACAATTCACACACAAACAAGTAAGGAAGGGCTAAGTTCGGGTGTAACCGAAGTTATCTTGAATAGTAACACAATTTTCCACCTATGTAAGTACACATAGGGTCAAACATTTTTTAAGTCGGGATGTAAGCAATAATAATTATTTATTATACGAATATGTCGGCCAAGACTTAATGTGTATGTTTTTCACATAATGTCCGAAGATTTTCTTTGCACAAACTGAATAATGCTTTTACAGTGTGTGATGGTATTCCGTTACGTTGGAACCAGTAACCGTTAAAATATTTTTCACGCATACTCGTTTTGTTTGATGAAAAAATATTGTCAATACGTTCTTATTATTATATGGTTCTGTGCTTTACAAAATTAAGTTCTCATTTATCGTGACAAGCTGTTGTTGGACGACACCTGCTGGCCAAGATATCCACAGTTAACACAACTGAATTACTATTTCCAAAAAAGGCAACACCATTTGAATGTTAGAGTTGTACTGAACTCAACATGGCCATATACTCAGTTGAATAGTTAATGATATTCAAACACACGTGGAATGTACAAAAAACTATCCACTAATTGTTGGTAAATCAATGATTAACTTTTAGTATCATTAAGTAATTTGCTAATTGATTTGTGTACTGACCCGTTACCACAACGAAAACAATATTTTATATATACAAAATTACATAAATACCTACTTGATTATATAGATGACTACTGATTACTCTTACCGTTGTCTATAGTTAGTTTTTCAACCACCTCTCAAATTGAGAGTTTCCAGAAAATCAGTTTAATAAATCGCAACATAGACTTTTCCTTCTTTCGCCAGGAAGAGGCTTACGGCTGATAAATCTAATAGGCCAATTCTAATAAATAAAGTGTAAATAGTTAGCGGATGAATTCATAAATCCCTAGCAATAACCATAACCGTTCTCGATATTTGAAAAAAGAAACAAACGTTCAAATATATTGAATGAGAATTACAAAGTAAATACCAGAAAATATAGTTTGCAAACAAATCAATCCGTGTTCAATAGTATGAATACAATTATGAATATAAAAAAGGAGTATTTTTTTCTTAAAAAATAGGCTTGGCATGTACCTAGATATAAAAAATTACGTGTCACTTTTGGTCTGGGGTAAACTCCTACACTACGGAACAGATTTTTGTTAAATTTAGTACGCTGTGTCCAGTTTGATCCAACTTAAAAGTTACGATAGTTTATGTATCAGTTATGTTGCAAGTAAACCAATTCACAAATAAAAAAATATTTTTTCAGACATAACCATGTAGTCAAAATTAAAACAAGGAGTATAATTTTATAATTTTCAATAAAATGCCAAGTGGAAAATTCATCATATTTTTATTTAACAAATATTTGTATACTTTTCAAAATTAACCCTCAAATACCATCCATTCGATTATTACACCCTCATTAACGTTTTGCCTGGATTAATAGTTTATAATAATTTGTAGTATTTAATGTACACCATAGCCACAGTAACACGCGGCGAGAACTAAATCTTTTTTGAAATCTTTATAAAGGTTACTTATTTTTTTTCACAATTAGAAAACAGTGAAATCGGTTCTGAAGTTTACGTATTTACTTTTGTATAGGAACATTTTTACTAAGATAAATGTCATAATTTAATAGCAACATAGCTCCTTCATTATGTGTAATTTATTACACATGTCTTTACAGCTAAAATAAAAAAAGTATTAGAATGCTGTCCCTGTTAGGTGACGTGAAAAAACATTTATATAGCCGGCTATGTTATATCTACCTATATTGACAATAGAATTTTTTTGTAAGGAAAACTTTCAATTTGTTTTTTTCTTAAGATTATGAGAACTCCTTCTAGACACTGTAGACAATCCATTCCTAGCTTTGTAAAACAGATAAAATAATTCAAAATAATATACTAATAGAAGCACAAAGAATAAATTAACTAATAAACTTCTTTTCATCAATTATTATAGCTAATTTAGACGAAATTGGAGATTGATTATATTATATATTCTCGTATGTACATATATACATATGTATATTAAATTAGGAATCATTACGAAGTCCACATGGATGCCGCAAATTCTTTTTCTTGCTTTTGTAAAATTACCAATCCTATGACAAATGACGCTGTGCTACTTATAGTGTGTTTATTAAAAATTTGTATTAGCAGATTTGCACACAATTATGAGGCAAAGCGACAACAACTTTTTTGTTTACTCATTCATACTTTTATTTCCATTACATTGCACCCATGAACGTGTGTACAAGTGTACCAAGTGTTACCCATGATTACTTCAATTTACAATTGTATTTATGAAGGCATCTTAAAGGTGCTTCCAACTTCGTTTTGTACAAAGTTTGCAATCAAATGGTTATACAATATGTATGAATAGTATGACAACATTAATTTCGAAGAACAACAAAGAAGCTGTGGCTAAGTGATGTGACAGGTGTTTTAGTATTGTCTCAACAGCCAAAGTTAGAAACACAACCGATATAAAATGTATAAAGCCAACCACTAATTATTTTAGAATTAAGATATTTTAGCGATTTAGTGGTTGTACAAATATATTTTGTCATACTTTAGCCAAGCGTAAATTTTTATTTCAGTATGAAATTTTATTAAGCAAGCGCTGAAGAGGCGGAGACCCGAAAGATGTAGTAATACTATGTAAGAGTACACGTGTAGAAAAAAACGCAAGTAAATGACTTTCCTGAGAAGTAAATGCCAGAAAGACAAAGAAATAACAAAGTTCCTGCTTTCGCATTTTTGTGGCCACAAAATACGTAGATGTTTGTATACATTTCATTTTATATATTCAGCGCAGAACTTAAGAATAAGCGCCCAAAGAGCATAAAGGATTTTATTTAATTCCGAGCGCTATGTACAGTTTTCAAAAGTGTGAGTGCAGGTGCGTTTCGGTGAAAGGTGAAACAGACAAATCTCCAAAAACAGAATATAAATTCGAAAGAAACCATAAAGATACAAAGCAAAATCAATAAATTTAAATAACTGCAAAGTTTGTATAAGTAAAACAGGTCCAACAAAAAGGTAAAAGACAAAACAAAATGTAGAAGCGAAATTCAGCAGAAGAACTCATATAATTAATAAGCAGAAAGCCCAATTCTAAAAAAATAAACAGAGATCCCCATATATTAACACACACTGTAATTTCTACTGTAGTACTGTAAAATGCGCGATTCACACATTTTAACGTTGGCAATGATTGATATGAGCATACGGCATTACAAGTTCGTCACTTTAAATGTATTCGAAAGCATAGGAGGCGGGAGTGGTAGAGTAGTAGTCGGATGTAATCATCGCTAGCGAAAATACTTACTCGTGCTGCTTTCGGCGGCTTAGCGGAAGACCTACAAGATAATTATTCCCAACTTATCGGTACAATACGGACCATTGATTAGTGCAATCAATCACTGGTAATATAT